TCTCCATTGTTTTAAACTAATTTTTTCACTCTTTGGTTTTCGGTTGTGGGGCTTCCCTGTCCTTTTTGTCTTTCTAGCTACACACGTCGGACACCCCGGTCCGTACAAACAAGAAGCCACACACCTTACCTCAGAGACCTTTGCTCTTCCCACCCCACCACCCGTGAGCGCTGTAACTTTGGACTTCACCTCTGCAACTTTCCACAGCTCCAGCCTGTGACTGGACAGCGAAAGGAGAAACAGGACAGCAATGAGCTCATCTCTAGTCACCCTGTTTTTTTCTTCCATCAGCATGCTTGTTGTCAGCACATGAACTGATTGGCCTCTTATGCTATTTCTTCCTCTTAGGCTGGGTTCACACCATCGTTTATGTGCGTGTCCAGCGTGCATTTATTTGTGTACATGAAGACGTGCGTTTTGACTGGAAGCTTATGAAACTTTGTGGGCAATGGATGAACATGCCTACAAATGCGTGCAACATGCTTCTGCCGTGCGTTTCAAGGCATTTCCATTGAAGTCCATGGGGCAAAAATGCGCTGTAAACTGCCCATAGAAGCTTGTGTACCATTCAGGCATTTTCCTGCTGGTGTTTTGCTGCTCAGAAGTGAACAGGAGCCATCGAAAATCATGGGATTTCTTGTGTTGGGCATTTAGAAACGGTTTTTCAACTGCTCTCGCTGCTGCTGTTTAGGGACTGCAAGGAGATGAGATACCAGGACAAATGTATATTCTTACATACAGCTTTTAAAGCAGCTTGCTTTTAAAAAATACATTTAATGATCTGTTCATGATTACAAAGCTGCCCTATATCTTCCCAGAGTTCAGCTTCAATATGTATCCCACCAGGCGATCATACTGCTGAACTCTGCTGTCTTCATGATTTATTCTTGTTGAAGAATCTCCATCCTGTACACCTCTGTATGTGTTTAAGATGACTGATCCCTGGGTATGTTCTGTGGTTGTTTCCACCAGCCTCTGTCACTACTGGGTCCTATAGTGATGTAGAGGCCAGATGATGACATCACAGAACAGGGCCAGGCATCGGTCACACACACAGAAGTGTCAAATACCTACATGGGATTTTTGTTTGTCTTGCATGTTTTTTCATATTGCTGTATTTAATAAATTATATAAAATATACACAAGCAGTGTGGCTAATAGTTGTTTTTTTTAGGATTGTGGTGGTTTTGTATCTAGTTTGCCCCTGACCAGCATGCAAGGTGGTGCGGGTCTAATTAGGATTAATTCCACAAGTGTCCAATGCAAAATATTTTTCATCAAGCTTATCTCTTGATAACAGCAGAGCTTGGCAGTGCAGGTAACAGGAGGGGTAGGCATTTCTTTACAGGGAGGACTTCTCTTATACCCTTCTTTTTTTTTTTTTTGAATACTGAAATATTTACTTTATTGTTGGCCTCCTTTAAACCTTTTTGCTTACAGAGAAGTTTTCTGCACACATTTTAAAGTGCACGTTTTAGGCCTGAAGATTTCTTAACCCCCCCGACTCGTGGAAGTGATTGGGCAGCTGTCACTTCCAGTGTAAAGATGGCAGTCTTTACTGACGTAGGTCATACAGCGGCAGTATTAAAAGGGTTAGTTGTCTGTATGGCAGCATTAAGACTGGGATAGAGAGGGGCAGCCTCCTTTTGTCACCGAAGGTCACTTTTAAAATCCAACTCTTTACCATCATTGCATACTCTGTGACTCCAGTGACTTACAAGTTTCTGATAAACTCGATCATCTGTGTAAACACTGTATTTACCCCGTAACAAACCAAAGATAGCTAAGCTGCACTTATACATTATATATAGCATACAACCGAACACACTGATATTCTGCTACTTTTCCCAAAATTAATACATTATTAAGGCGGCTGAGCCTGCATTGTCAGGTCCAAGTGTTGCAAAAACAGAACATCGTGTTTTAATGAATGCCAAAAAAAAAAGTCAGTCACGAATCACTTTTGACGCTTTTCCGTCTTCGTGGTGTATGTTGCTGCTGTGCTCTGTCTTTTGTTTGGTTGGGTGACTGTTTTAAATTGATGCCAAGTCCATTTTGCCTTTCAAGAACAATAAAAAGGGAGCAGGGTGGTGGGGTTGAGGGCTGCTTAAGCCATCTATACAATGGTAGATTTCTATACGAACGTTCATACAAAGAAAGCTCCAACATTCGATAATGCCATCAGAGACTTGGCGAATGTTTGCTTTTAGCATTTGATTTTGAAATTAATGGGAGTTTCTCAAACAAAAATCACATTCATTATTAGAATTTCATTCATTCGAGAAATCCTTTCCATTCTGCTCCTTTTTAATCACTACAGTCAAAAATGATTGCCCATTTGACCCCATTAACTTTTAGAAAATTGAAAGAACGTTCCGAAAACAAAATCTTTCAAATTAAATTCTGCTGCTGTGTACCCATCTTTAGAGTTTGAAAACTTTGCAGGTTTTGCTGAGACCGGCAGGTCTCAGCAACAAACCAAAAATGTTCAGCTTCATTTCATTACAAAAGCCACTGATATCTTCATTGGCCTCTGGCTCAAACAGTATTCACTAAAAATATTATTTTAATGTGTTGGAATGGTCAATATTCAATCTGTTTTTTTAATGTCTGCACGTTTTATAATAGGAACATTATTTGGTCGGATAATTCCCATGTCTGTGTTGTATCTTTTTCTTTGCTTTTGTATGTGCGTGTCAGATTGTCCCATCTCTAATGAATAAGCAGTAATCTGTGCATGCATGCCTCTTTTTACATAATGTTGCCACTGGCTAAACAGGAACTCCAGACAAACAGCTGAAACACATATAAAGTAGTTTTTTTTGTATATACCAGAGGATTTATATTTCTGACCAATTCTTATATTTACACAGCTCCCATCGCATAGCCAGGGGGATGACACCACTTTTTCTGTTAGTTATACATTCTAGAAGTGATACAGTGGCATCCCTCATAATCACCCCCAGACTTATGACTGGACAGTAAAAAAAAGTCTGCGGAGGTTATATTTCTACTCACTCTGCTTTTTCCTCATACCAGCATTTTCCTTGTCAGTACATTTTCATGAAACACATATGATTGGCTCCCATTCCTATGTGCAAAAAGTTGTGAAGGACAGGTCCAGTTGTTGAGCGCTCTTACGGGGTGCGGGGGGTGGGGGTTGATTGGTTTCAATGCTGGTGTGATGCTCCTGGTATGTGCAGACCGAGGAGTCCAACGTTCTCTCCTACCTCTCCCTGTCTGACTGCTTTTGTATCCTTGGTTGACTGGGAGCCCATCAGGGATTTCAAGAGGCTTGATACCCAAGTCACATTGAAGTACCTAATCTAGTTGTAAAAGAAAAATAACAAAAAACTGTTTTAGCAATGAATGCATTGACTTTTGTGTTTTGTATATCTGCCTGGAGTGCAGCTTTATTGAGGTTGTCCATAAAGTCGGCAGGAAATAAAGTTTGTGAAAATGCATTGATTCTTTTCCAACATTTAACAATTGTCCAGTTGTGTTAATCTGATGCAGGTTTAAAGACTAATTTAGTGGCTGCCTCCAAAACTGTGCAGGGTTCTCTTTATGTTATGCAGCACTTTTTTAATGCCAAATGCTCCATCATTGCTTCAGTGACACTGACTGGTTTTCATAACATCACATCTTGCCAGAAAGTTACAAATGTATCGCGTTTGTAAATTACACAAAGACCTCTGTGGTTCTGATCTAAAGAAAACTGTTCTCAAACATTACAATAAAGCTATATTAAAAGTTTTACAAGGATGCACAAAGTGTAACCCCCTTTTACACAAGTGGGCTCCATTCCTATCAGCATGGAGTCCGTGGACAGGTCCCCTGATGATTGGAGCAATGTGGAAAGGCTGTCACTCTTATTCAACTCAATGGACATGTGTCTTTTTTCAACCTGACTAACTTTGTAACTGTGTGTCTGTTCAGTTTTTCCTCTATCCTGTTATAGAGGAAAAAAATGACCAGACTCAATTTAGGTCTATGGCAGTCGGATGCAAGAGGGCCTCCAATACATCCTGTTCAGGTCCACCAAAATGAAACGCTGTTCTGGCTTTTTTTTCCAGACTTTAAAAGAGAACTATGGGGTAAGTGTTTTTCCCCATAGTTCTCTTAAGGGTCACGGGAGGACATATACCAGCATCCTCCCGTGACCAAAGCTCAGTATATCGCGAGCTACAGCTCGTGGTATACTGAGGCCGCCGCGGCCAGGACGGATCCCGACAATGCTATCGAGATCCACCCAGCTGCGTGAATGACTGCTGGTTCTGCCTATCTAGAGGCAGAGCCAGCTGTAACCACCCTACCCCGTCCGTTCCTCCAGTCGGGGAGGGGAGGAAGGGGGGAATCCCTGCTGGGAGCGGTGACTGACACTGCTCACTGCTCTCTGCAGAGAGATCGAGAAGTGAGCGAGCGACGGTATGCGTTTGCTCACTTCCCGATCTATTGAGCCGACGTGTGACAGTTTCATTGTCGCACGTTGGCTCGAACTATGAGGATGAGTGATTCTTACTCACCTCATAGTTCTCCTTTAACGAACTTGGAAGTAATTGGATACAAAAAGACACGGGTCTGTTTACATCCGGCTGACCATAGCGTTGCATTGGGTTTCCGATCAGTTCTGCCTGAAACACTGACAGGAACGTTGTGTGAAAGCGGCATAATAGAATTGTTGAAATGCTTACCTATGCTGAAAGAAATGCTGGTACAGGTTCCTTTTAGTGCCCACCACATAGTTGAAGGCCAAGGTACTTGGTTATATGGTCTGTGCTGAAGTGGATCATCAGGCATTCTGAATCATGATCCTTCTCTTTGGCCAAGTACGTAGACAAGCTTATAAATTGGTTTTGTCCTAATATGAGTGTTTGGTTAAAAATTTTGAGCTGTTAGGATATTCGGACATCTATGAATGAAGGAAACAAAATTGGTTAGTCCTGACTTGAAGTGGTGAAAATTAAATAAATGATCCTTTTTTTGTCTTTTGCCTCTAGGCCTCGCAAAGGAACAATCCTGCTCTGGATCCAATTATTCACGGATTGAAGGGGGTCGTTCATCATGGTAAGCAGTTAGCACATAGTAATTTTTCTACATTTTTACAAAGTTTAAAGTTAGTGTCATGACTTAAAGTGTATTTCAGGGCAAAATGAAAAAAAAACACATGGCATACATATCTGTAATACACTTTTTCCCATACTTTAAGCCTTTTCAAGACCCTGAAAGTACAGAAAAAATGTGTTGATCTGCTAAAAATGCTTTCAGTTCCTAATTTCCTCTAATGAAATGGCACCACGTGCCTTTCTGTGGACCGAAATTGCAGGGCTTGGTGTCAGCCCTGCCCAGCTGTCTGGTAATCTATTGAATCCTGCCTATTCTCCTCATATCCACAGCATGGGGACTATAAGTCCCCATGCAAGCAGCTGTTCAGATATAATCAGACCGATATCCTGCGATTAGGGACAGATGGTCCCTAAAAAAGAAAAGTTCATTGTAACATTTTACATAAACATTCAAGCAAAAATGACACTGATATAAAATTATTCATAAACTAAAGACAAATTTACTTGGGTACTTAATCTGGGATGCTCAGTATGAAGCTGCAGCCTGTAGCTCTGACATCCAGGTTCTGCTGCACAGCCCCTTCCCTCCATGCTCTTCTGACAAGCAGAGAGCCACTCATCGACGGGTCTGACTTTTGAGCTTCAGTTAGCATCTGCATACAAGGTGCCCAAGGTTCGAAGAAATCCAGCATGCTCTTAAGGTATATGTAGGCCCCTCTAGCTTGACCTGTCATTTGGAGAACATTACACAAGTATCGGGTATATGCTAAGATACTCTTAGGTGTAAGATGCCACAGAACAAACCAGGCACGCTCAGCAAGGCTGGTTGTGGACATTTGCCACCCTAGACAAACCTAACCGATGGTTTTGCTGTGTGGAATCTCCACCTCTCGTGTTTAGGTAACAACTACTGTTAGAATGTAGTATATTGGCGGCAAGGTTTAGTCTGCTTTATATTCTCAGCTACATTTTAGCATTACAGACTGACAATCAAGAGAAAAGAGAGACTTTTCATGTTTCCTGAACTGTGACAAGTCTTCTATCTTCTCTCAAGATGCAGTGCACCCCAACAGTTCTCTTGCTGAATGTAGCTGCATGATCAGATGAAAGGGAAACAAAATAAGAAAAAAAACCATTACCATTTGTAATTATCCACATTGCTGCCCTATGCCCGAAGTAGTGCCCCGTGGGTGACATTATATTAAATACTGCCCTAACAATCCACAGATTTTTTAGATAAAATGGTTTGGAACTTCCCCTCCAGTAGCTCTTTCCCATGGAGATAAAGATACTTTTTTTTTTTTCCATGGAGATAAAAAAAGAGCTATGGGTGTTCCATATGCTCCATGCTTGCAAGTTGTATGCATGTTAAACATATTAGACGTTTGGTGTCTGTTACCCACAAAATTAGCATTTTATACATTAAACAGCTAAAGATTCTTTCTGGTCAACTTAACACCTTCAAACGATTCCAAAAAAAAAAAAAAACTGTCAATTTGGTTTCATCCTCTCCTTTTTCTCTATGTTAATATGTGGTTGTTATGAAAGCAGAAGCCATTATTTGATAAGCTAAGATCAAAATTCATATTCCACCTGAAAATGGATTTGTGCGAACAGTAAGCAGTTTGTTTCTTTTCAGTCACGGCTCGGGAATTCACACCTTATAAATCATTAGAAGTTACTATACATCATCCATATTAGCAGCACGGCACATAGTGCTGATGTTTCCCTCCTGTTATTTATCTTGTGCATGTTCTGAAAATTCTCCTCTTAGAATATTTTGTTCCTCCATAAATTATTTGTCTTCGTCTTCTGTTGATAACAATAAATCAGGAGTGCCCATTTGTGAAAATCATTTTAAATTTGCAGAACATTATTCGACAAGATTCGGCTGTGCTGAAGGGAACGGCTTTTTGAGGCCGTCCAAGCAAGTCGTTTTTTTTTACAAACAACACATGTGCTGTGGATACCGGCAGACAATCTGCACGCATGCTAGACCTGCGTCGGAATCAGATACAGCGTAATTAAATCAGCACTTGTATCTGAATTAGGACTGCAGCATCATTGTGGGTTTGGGATTGCAGTCTTCATTTGATTAATTGCAAGGTAATTGGTGGAGGAGTGCATGTCTGTGTTAAGCCGTTCGGCCCAATGCAGTGTACTTTTTGGTGCTTGTACGCGCAAAGCTTTGAACTACAACCACATAGGGCAAAACACGTGTACCTTAATGTCATTTAAAGAGGAGCAAACAAGCCAGTGATCCTATACGTCAGGTGTGTCGAATCCAAACTTACGAAGGGCCATGCGGAGGGTTGTGAATACAATCTGTGAATAAATAACCCTGCTGCTTGCCGTGGTACAAAGCTCGGGTCCACTAATCATCATATGACAGTCCTGGTGTTCTGTGTGTGAGGACACTGCAAGTGTCAACAGTCACTGTACATTAAATTGACAGGGTCTGCAGGCACCTGTAGTGCCCTCACACACAGAACACCAGGATTGTCATATAATGGACAGGGACTGCAGGCATTTGTAGTGCCCTCACACAAAGGACACCAGGATTGTCATATAATGGACAGGGACTGCAGGCACTTGTAGTGCCCTCACACAAAGGACACCAGGATTGTCATATAATGGACAGGGACTGCAGGCACTTGTAGTGCCCTCACACAAAGGACACCAGGATTGTCATATAATGGACAGGGACTGCAGGCACTTGTAGTCTCCTTACACACAGGACCATCATATAATGATGATATGACTGTACTGTGTGTGAGGGCATTACAAGTGTCAGCAGTCCCTGTCCTTTTTATGGCAGTCCTAAATGGACATGGACTGCTGACACGTGTAGAGTCCTCATGCACAGTCAGTCCTGAATACACACAGCGGGATTTATCGAAGCGCTGAGACCAGTGGCAGTAACATTTTCATGCATTTTGCAGTCGCTACTATGATTGGTGGGTTCCCTCCACACGATTGGGACTTCGAAGGGCATGGACTTTTTCTTGTTTAGCCAATTACGCAGATAAGTTGCACATGTAAAGCAACATTAATGAGGGGCCCAACTCTTGTCCTGAGCCCCTATTTTACATCCAAAATATAGGGGGTATGCCTCTTTTTTACCACTGGCGTCATACTGCACTTTTGAGATGCAAATTAACCTCGCCACAAATGTAGCAGGAGTGATCTGCATTTTTTACACAGTTTCAAGGCATCTTGGCTTCTGAGGGAAAATATCACGCAACTGTTCCTTGGAAATGTTAGGCAATGACACTTTCACAAGCCACCAGATGCAACTGTATGATGCGTAAATCTGACCGAGACAATGTACCTTGCAATAAAAGAACAATAAATGACAGTTCGGTAATAATCTTTAGTCTCAAAGTGAAGATACATTTATACACTTCCATGTAGTACCATTTTCATTGTTCTAACGTACTTTGTTGAGAAGTTATGAGGCATCATGATCATCAGACATCTCCTTCCCTTGTAGGCAAATATACTTGACTGTGTATAAATCTTTTTTGTGAAATATCTTGAAAACTTTCGCCAACCAACCAGCACATTATCACCTGTTTTCAAATTCATCTCATCAAAATATGTAAGAATTAACACATTTTATCTGAGAGGTCGATCATTTTCCAAAATGTTTACACCAGTGTAATTGGACAGAGCAAGCCTGAAGGCAGGTAGCTAGTGCTGTGCTCTCTCTCTTGAGATAACCCATAGTGCTATGGAAATCCTTTGTCATCTGTTAAATATTGTTTTAGAATACAAATAATAAAAAAACCCCAGATAATTTCAGTCCAAAAACATCTACAATTAAAATGAAATTGACCCCAAACCCCATTTGCTTCCATTTAAGATAGCTGCAGGAGATGGGGCCGTGTTTTTCTGACTGATGTGGATGGGGCCTGACGGGGTGTTTATTTACACTGTAACTTACCTTTTAGCTACTTTTATAGCTGCCACAAGTTCTCCATTCTTGTGGGTAAAAATCTAAAACTGTCTGACACGTTAGGATTAGAACAAATAGCATTTAGGATTAATTGCCCTACTTTCAGAGTCATTTAATGTTGCAGATGTGAATGGCAATCAATCTATGGGACATGAAAAATAGGTGCACAAATGTTGGCAGAGACATTCCTCTTCCAATAACATGCCCCTAGGCATAAAATAAGAGATACCGCTGCGATGCTGGTAATATATTCATGTGTGATGAATGCAGATATACGTCATCACTCATTTTCTTCATTTTTAATCATTATAAGTCCGAGTATGTCCCCCAGTTATCAATTTCAAGGCGGTGTTCCAGAATATCTAGATTGGGTACATCGAAGCACTCGAGTCCAACTGCTTTCCATTTTGATGTAATAATTTTCTGAAATTTATTTATCACATAGAATGCCTGTTTATGCAACGATTTGGCAGCCATTTCGAGCCCTTGTCCAAACACTTACAGTTCAGTTCGGAGTGCCATGGAGAGATTAAAGAGGTAATTCAGTGAAATTTTGGCAGGCACTTTGGACTTCGATTGACTACACGAGTCTCAGTGGACTAAATGGAATCATCTTTTTATTTGCTATAGAATGACAAAGAACTTTGAGCGTTTCCTACCTCTATCAAATGCTTTCATTTTTTAAAGTATCAAATAAGAACAATTTAGCTTTCTGTACAACAAAGCTTGACTATATTTCCCCATTGTACAATACACTTTTTTAAAGGAACCAGAATCTGAAATTTGTGTTTGCTTAATGTCAAGTACAAAGTTAAACCCCTAGGAAGGCTTATTCCATCTAACTCTGCTACTGCTTCTAACCCTACCCTGTACACAGGGTTAGTTATATAGTATATAGTTACATAGTATTTGAGGTTGAATAAAGACACAGGTCCATCAAGTTCAACCTTTGTGTATATGTGTGTGACTGTGCATGTGTATGTGTGTATAAGAGTCCCCGTGTGCAGCGGTGTATTTAGCTTTGCTGCTGCCCTAGGCAAGGT